CTTCTATGGGTTGTCTCCAATCTGCACTGGAGAATTTTACTTTATTTAGAGACTTGTTGCAGAAAATATTCAGAATGTGCAGTTATTTGCTACCACAAGCGATCTCTGGTCCAGCCGCACATCAGAGCCGTATTTGAGCTCAACTATCCACTACATGAGCAACTGGGAGCTACATAGTATTTTGAACAAGTTCATGTTTGCACAATACGTTCACAATTGACATGTTTGCACTTTAAATATGTTTACGATTTTAATTTATGTTAAGTTACTTGAAAAAGGAGAAAAACTGATTTTTGTAATTGTTTCTCTCAGGGCTTTTATCATCTCTGGTGTGAGTTTAAAATATAAGTGTGTTAGCACTGTGCTGATTATCCCTAATATGAATAAATGTTTATTTATTCAATGTTTCTCTTCTTTAATACGCAATTGAAGTTATGCTATTCATGGATAAAAAAATCGTGATAAAATCGAAATCGTGATAAAATATTGGAAAAATCGTGATATTCTATTTTTGCCATATCGCCCAGCCCTACTCTGACCCTAATTTCCCTCATTGTGATGTCACAAATGGGCACTTTTTAAAATGACTCATTTTAGGCACCTAACTCCTAAAACAGAACACTGACAGAAAACAGACGGATGTTATTTTTTTCGCATTTGGAGTGTTTATAGAGAAAGGAGATATCCACATGGCAGCTCATTAAAAAAAATCTAGTTAAAAGTCCTCATAGGCCACAACGTGATTCATTTTCTTTAAAGGTGAGGAACACTTGTTTAATTGGTACATTTGCAGTGGTCTCTAGTAGGAATAAATGTCTTGTAACTTGTACTCTGGGGAAAAAAGCTCCGGTGCATCAGTTTCAGGAACTAGAAGACTACCACATCACCTTTAGGCGACAGGATCTGAACTCTTATTTCCTGATATTTGAACACCTCTCATCGGACTAGATGCCAGAATTGTACCACTGACTTGATTTGCTCTGCAACCTTGATGTTTCATCGCCACAAAAAACTCAAGCCTGAAGGAGTTCTACCATATTGTGGAGTTGCCAATGCTAATGGTTAGCTTCTACTGGTCGAGACATTCTCTGCTGTTTGCTGGACGCTAAAACAACAACAACAACCTTTACCGTTGTGCTTGAAGATGGGTGAGCACATGAATATTAAGTGTGAGGCTTTTCAAATCCTATCGTTTCACCAGCTTTCATCAGTCTTCATCTATTTTCTGTCAGAAGCTGCTGCAGGAGATAGTTGTAGGAGACCATTTTCCTGTTCAGTCTGCATGAACCAATAAAAACAAAAAAAGCTTAATAATTTAATTGCAGTTTTTGTAATATTTAGTACAAATCTGCTCATAAATATGTTTGAAAAGTGTTTTTATATCAACAACCTGTTAGAGACAAAATTCCACCATTCTAGAAATGTAATTTAGGGACCACACAGAATCACTCTGTGGGCCACAAATGGCCCCCGAGCCTCGCCTTAGACATCCCTGGTTGAAACTAAATAATCCAAAAGGTCAGCACAAACAGAAGCTCTCATTAATAATCATTAATGCATTGTGGCACTTTAAGAGTTGTGACCTTTCTTGAGGGTGTCTCATGAAAATATAAACTTTGAAATGTTTTGTTTTAGTTGCAGAAGCGATTCGTGGTAAAACTACGAGTCAGTCCGAGCTTCAGTGTTTGTGTTTGTCTGCTCACCGTGGCTTAAGGCCACTGCGTGTCTTCACTGCACCGCTTCTTGTGCGTGTTTTATCCCCCTGACAAACAGACTCTGGCCTCTTGAGGAGCTCAGTTTGATTTATCCGCACACCGAGTGGCTCCATGTGTTTTTCCCCTGTTCCTGTGATCGGTGCCACTGAGGCTTTCATTAGAAAAAAGAAAAACACTCACCAAGAGGTCCGGCGGTGCAAAAGCTCTTTAGAAATAACACAGAGAGCGAAAAAAGACCAGCTGAGTCTTGAGGTGTTTACAGTGGACAACTCTTCTTCTGTGGTAGTTTTCACTGAGCTAACACCCGACAGAGGCTAATCGGTGCTGCATTTTTACACCTGCTGAGCAGACTGACGAGGATTTCTGATCAATGCAGAATATTCTGCTATGAACATATATCTGAGAATCAAGGAGTTTGTGCTTGTTTTAGGGTTTCATGTTAATTTTTTTGATGTTTAAATTTTGCTTCTGCACTTCTAGATAGATATCTGTTCAAGTCTTACAGAACAAACAACACATTAAATCGATAAGAATGTATTTTCATTACACAAATGTTTTGCAGGATTTGTGTAAAACCATCTTTGAATGAATTTGAGTGAAGCAGCTGGGGAAGGATCAGCTCCTCTAAATCTGAGACCACGCTCTTGAATCGGATGAGGGTAGAGTGCCTTCTCCGGGTCAGGGATGAGGTCCTGCTTCAAGTGGAGGAGTTTAAGTATCCCAGGGTCTTGTTCATGAGTGAGTGAAAACTGGAGCATGAGATTGATAGGTGGATTGGTGCTGCTTCTGCAGTGATGCGGGCGTTGTACCGGTCTGCCGTGCTGGAGAGAGAGCTGAGTCGGAAGGCGAAGCTCTAGAAATGACTTTTCTCCGCAGAGTGGCTGGGCTCTGCCGTACAGATGGGATGAGAAGCTCGGTCATCCAGGTGGGGCTTGGAGTAGATCCGCTGCTCCTCCACATCGAGAGGAGCCAGTTGAGGAAAGCTTGGGCATCTATCGGGATAGAAAACAACAATTATTTACTTGAAGAACTAATAGATTTTTATAAAATAAATAATTTTAGCGTTTTTGTTTTTTGTTGCATTTTATTTAATTTTTTAGCTTTAAAATATAAATCAACAGCACATTCTGCACCAAATCACTATATCATAGAAATATTTAATGCTATGGGTCAGAAACTGGAAAGTTGAAAATTCACATAAACAGCAGAAAGATTTCTGTTCTTTTAAACTGCAGAGATGACGAGTACATTTACCGCCCTTTCGTTACATTTCAGGACTCTGGCTGAGCATTAAGTCTTGATTGGGACTTCCCTGGTGGTCACGTGCGGGCATACACACACACACACACACACACACACACACACACACACACCCCACAATGGGTGAGCTATGCAGAGCTGAGATCACTTACAGGGGTCAATGATGAGTAGTAGCACTAATAAAAGCTACTGAACTTGTGTCTTTTCACGTGTTCTCAGCCCTCTGGAGTTAGAAATACACAAAAACAAAAGGACTATGCACTTAATGAATGATAAAATAACAAAAACATGGACAGAACAGGAATATATCTCCTTACTGAGCACTTGACTTGCATAAGCAGAGATCTCTGCATACGTGATGAGAAAGATGCTCACACTTGAGGAAAGGACCTCTTTACATGTTTTGTTGAAATTTAGTTCCAAGGAATCTGAACACAGTTCCTGTCTGGATTTAGGTAGTCTCAGTTGCTTCTGTCTCTACTTATAGTCCCAGATTGACTCCATGATGTTGAGATCTGCGTTAGATGGGGGCCATGCCATCTGTTGCAGGACATCTTGTTCTTCTCGATGCTGAAGATAATTCTATATGACTACCTGTGTGTGCTTGAGAAAAAAAAGGGGAATTAAACCAACCGTCAGAGACACTTTGATAGCAAATAGTACCACTGTTTGTCAGTGGCGTGTCCAGGCCTTTTAAAATGGGGTGGCCCAGGTGGGGTACTTGTTATTGCATGGGCGGCACCAATGGTTACGATTTTTATTTCACTGCATTATTTTGCATCAGAGTAAAGTTCCACATTGTGGCATGACCAGTTTCCGTGTGTGTGTGTGTGTTAGAGAGAGAGAGAGAGTCTGTGCGTGCATGACATAAATTTTAGCTTGTTATTTTATTTTACTTATATTTTACTACCTCCTCTCATGGGCTGTCTTTGGAGTGCATTGCCAATAAAACATGCTTGACTCTTCTCTCTCTAGTCTTCCTCCTCTTTGAGCTGTTTTGTGGTGGTTAGTAAGCTACTTCTTGGTGCAGTGCTGCCACCAACTGGAGCGGAGTGGCACTTGGACCGGGACTTCTGTCAATATGAAAAAAAATAATAATGAAAATAATGTAGAAATTTTATTTTGGCCGGGGTTGGAAACCAACGTTAAAGGAGCATGCTGCCACCTATTGTGGGGTTTATAACTTCACTGTAAAGTCAATTTAAATGGAACTGAGAGGGGTGGCCAATCAGATTCCAAGGGGGGCATGTGCTACCACAGGCCACTCCCTAAACATGTTCCTGTTGTTTGTATAATCATTTACTCTTGATCTTGATAGTCAACATTCAGCAAGTTGCCTTTGTCTCTTAAGATGAATCAAATTACTTAAAAGTCTTAGTTTTTTTTTCTGTTTTCGTGTAAAAAAAGTATATATATATATATATATATATATATATATATATATATATGAGCCAGTTTTCAACTGGTTAGCCTCTCCTGTCTGCAGACAAATCAGCTGTATCTATGTTCTGTCCTCTTTCTACATTTATCATTTGTGAACGCTTCATCCTGTAGACTTTTTTTATTTGATGGATAAAAAAAACATTTTGGTTTCTAGAAAATCCTTTTTGTGCAGTTGTACGGGAAGGCCTCCACGGGGGTCAAGAGCTCATCTTAATCTACCACAGCATCCAAGAGCTCCTCTGCTTTTGTAGAGAGCCAAAGCTTCAAAGTTGACCAAAAAGTGACCTCCCTCGGTTACTCACCTGACTTGAATCATTTAGAGAACTTGAGGACTCTTCGTGAATGCTAGAGTTACAGGATTACTTTGAACAACGTTTGGGAAGCTGTGGTTAATAATTCACTGAAAGCTGATGACAAACAGATCAAGAAACTGGGTGGGTTCCATGTTACCACTGTCGTTTGTTACAAAATGTCTGTACAGTACCTTCTTTTGAGACATTAACCCTTTTCTTATGACAGCCACAACTTTATTTATAAAAGAGCTGTGTTTAGAAATTAAAACTGCCTCATATTTGTCTGCAGGAGCTGACAACATCAAGAAATACTGGAGTCGGTACTACCAGGGGTCACAGGGTGTAGTCTTCGTACTGGATAGCGCCTCATCGGACGAGGACCTGGAGGCGGCGCGGAACGAGCTCCACTCGGCTCTGCAGCACCCACAGCTCTGCACACTGCCTTTCCTTATTCTTGCCAATCATCAGGACAAACCTGCAGCAAGAACGCCGAGTCAGGTAATCTGACCTCTTTACAGTGTTGTTTTAAATATTTTTGAAATTTCCTCTTATGCACCATAAGAACAACCCCTTCCACACATTTCATCTGAAAAAAAAAAATACAGTTTGGCGTATTGGACGTTGCACACATGCTGACATACTCATCGTTGAACTTCTCTAACAGAGAGAATGAATGTTTTCACTTTCACTGCTTTAGTTACACAATATGTGTTCAGTGTAATCACTTGTCAGTCTTCTAACTTAATAAAGAATTACAGTTTAATGGTTTAGAGTGAATGCGATTGCACGACCCTGCGAACGGAGGTTTGGATTTGTTGGACTCAACCTTGGTTAAACCTTCCAAGGCAAGTAGTTCCCTCGAGCCATAATTAAATCCATCGACAGATTCTTTTAGAAAATATTTTGGCTGGTAGGAGGAACCGCACATTGAATTGGAAAACCAGTGTCTACACCTGCAGCCTGGCCTTGAACATGCAGGCAAGTCCACTGTGAATGGCCTAATGGGGTAGATAACGCTCAGCCACTCAAGAAGTAATGGAAACTACTGGTGTCTGTGCCAGAGAGCTTAAAGGAGACGTGTTGATTCACACATTAGACCTCAGTTTGCTTCTACAGAAGTTACCCTGCAAGGGTGACACCCAACCACCCCAGCAATGACGAAGAAGAACAAAGGTGCAATGGTGGCTCAGTAATCAGCAGGGTATCTGCGGGTCCTTAAAAAGTCTTAAATTAGCTTTTCCAAATTTAAGGCCCTAAAAATCCTTAAAAATGACAAATAATCCTCAAATACAGTTTCCAAAGGTCTTAAATTACCAAAGACCCAATAAAAAAGATTATTTTATTTCTACAAAATTTTTGTGAATTTCTAGTTAGTGTTCAGCATTTTTTGTGTATGATGTTGGCGTAAGCGGAACCGTACACACTCAGCTGGTTGTGAAAGGGGGCTATTTTTAGATGAGCACATTAGCTGGTTAAGCTAGCGGGAGCTTGCGCCATGGGGAAGTGCAAGTTTAATGCTAACTGGACTGTGAGTTTGTCCTAAAGTAGAAGTGGTAGCACCGGTTCCAGGCAATAGCTGGAAATTATAGCTTAGATTAAATTTTTAAAATAGCTTAAATTTGGTCAAAGTGGCCTTAAAAAAGGTCTTAAAAGTCTTAAATTTGACTCCCTTAAACCTGCAGATACCCTGAATCAGGTTCCAACCCAGTCAGTTATGTCAGTCGTTTCCTTCACTTTCTTCTCCTGCTAGTGGTGGCCGGACGGACCGGTGGCACCCGTTTGCCCGTAAAACATTTGTTTCATGCCTCTGGCTTTCTAGCGTTCCAACATTGTTTAGCTATAAATATATCGTAAAGGTAAAAAACAGGAAACAGTTATGAACTGCTTTCTTACATTCATTTAAAAACCTGATCCAATAGGTTGGCTCAGTCCAAAACCAACGAATGGACCATCTGGTTGCCTGTCTCACTGGACCACCTCACTTCCACATTTACCTGGGTCCGCCATTCATCACGCACTCGCACATTTTGCAGCAGAACACCTCTGTTGTGGTGTGAGAGGTTTGCAGCTCAATAAAATCAGAGAAGGAGAAACAGCCAGCTGCTACCACTTCTACTTTAGGACAAACTAACAGTCCCATAAAGAAAAACATCGTTTGAAGTCACAGACAACAAAATACGTTTGGACCCAGAAAACTGTGACTGGTCTAGAGGGGTCTCTCTCTTACCGGGGCAATGCGGATTCCTGTTTATCCCCTCCAGGCCTAGGGATCATATCAGAAGGGGAGAGACTTCCGTAATCATGTTTGTGTTTAAATGCTAGCTTGTGTTGCAGATGTGCCATTTCAGCTTTAATTTGCATTTAAGGCTATTTATTTTAACAATTGCTTTTCCCAATAAAGATCTATTTGAATATGCTTTTTTACCGCTTTGCAGCAACAACGTCTTTTTTCACTCAAAAACTGATTTGCGTCGGGAAATTGATGAACAAGCCACTGACCTCCTCATAAATATAGTTCTACGGACATTTTTTCTAGCTCTGCTCTAACTCACTGACAGAAAGGGCCCTTTATTGTAGGATGTTATGGCTAGCATTCCCTGTGCAAAGCACACACTTGTGCCTGACACCTCACTTCTCTGCACACTCACAAACTCCCCTCACATTAACACACACACACACACACACACACACACATCACCTGTTTAATGATTCTGATGGAGAACTATGATGAACGCCTGGAGAGAAGACCATCTGTGTATCTCACCGTAGACCACCGGCGTAGCTGCTTTTCAGTAACATGAAATCTGCAAAGGGAAATGTGAAGTCGTACACCTGATCCATTCGTGTCTCAAAGCTTTTAATCCCCCTGATATAGTTGGGTTAGGTAATGATGTGGATATGGTGCGCTGGTGTACAACCCACTAAAGTCACAGAAGCCCCCTATTATTATTTTAAACTTAAATGACAGCTGTGCTCATTAAGGTCAGTAACACTTCAATCTCTGAGTCACCTACTGGTCTTAGCCTGATGGTTTTCTTTGTCACATTTGATTGCCATACGTTTTGTAAACACAGGCTTAGCTGATCTTTTTTAGACATTGATAACATACGAGACAATTAAACCAAGTAAGTCATACTTTATCTGTTAGTAACTGCATAAAACAACATGAAGAAAAATTTTAAACAGGCATTGCATTATGCTCAACACAACCTATGCAAGTCTACTAGAAAAATTCTAACATTAAACAGCTGAAATAGCAAGAACAGGGTTGTACAGGAAGTCCAATAATACATACAGCGGTGTGAAAAACTATTACCCCCTTCCTGATTTCTTATTCTTTTGCATGTTTGTCACACAAAATGTTTCTGATCATCAAACACATTTAACCATTAGTCAAAGATAACACAAGTAAACACAAAATGCTGTTTTGAAATGATGGTTTTTATTATTTAGGGAGGGAACTAAATCCAAACCTACATTGTCCTGTGTGAAAAAGTTATTGCCCCCCTTGTTAAAAAATAACCCAACTGTGGTGTTTCACACCTGAGTTCAGTTTCTGTAGCCACCCCCAAGCCTGATTACTGCCACACCTGTTTCAATCAAGAAATCACTTAAAGAGCAAGTCACCCCCTACCAGAGTCTAACTCCACTCCCACTTCATGTTTGAAAAATGCAACAAATGTCGTTGCCTAGCAGACCGAGAGGGCGGAGCCGCTAACAAATATACACACACACACACAGGCTCACGACAGCATTGTGGCATCATCATGTACCAGTTTACATCATAGCATACCTCTTAGCCAATAGCGGTGGCAGATTTAAATTCAAATATAGTTCAGAGTTTTTACCTGACAACGGCACAAAACTGACAGTTTTAGGCAGAATATTTAAATTTTAACTAAAATGCACTGAAGTGCCAAATTATTGACAACACGTGTCTGCAGCACGATTAAACACTCGTTTATTTAGTTTATCAGCAAAAAAAAAAGTTTATTTGGGGGTGACTTGCTCTTTAAATATGAGCTGCCTGACACAGAGAAGTAGACCAAAGCACCTCAAAAGCTAGACATCACGCCAAGATCCAAAGAAATTAAAGAACAAATGAGAACAAAATTAATTGAGATCCATCAGTCTGGTAAAGGTTATAAAGCCATTTCTAAAGCTTTGGGACTCCAGAGAACCACAGTGAGAGCCATTATCCACAAATGGCAACAACATGGAACAGTGGTGAACCTTCCCAGGAGTGGGCGGCCGACCAAAACTACCCCAAGAGCGCAGAGACAACTCATCCGAGAGGTCACAAAAGACCCCAGGACAACTTCTAAACAACTGCAGGCCTCACTTGCCTCAATTAAGGTCAAAGTTCATGTCTCCACCATCAGAAAGAGACGGGGCAAAAATGGCCTGCATGTCAGATTTCCAAGACGCAAAAAGAACATTAGGGCTCGTCTCAATTTTGCTAAGAAACATCTCAATGATTGCCAAGATTCTTGGGAAACTACCTTGTGGACTGATGAGACAAAAGCTGAACTGTTTGGAAGGCAAATGTCCCGTTACATCTGGCGTAGAAGTAACGCAGCATTTCAGACAAAGAACATCATACCAACAGTAAAACATGGTGGTGGTAGTGTGATGATCTGGGGTTGTTTTGCTGCTTCAGGAACTGGAAGGCTTGCTGTGATAAATGGAACCATGAATTCTACCGTCTACCAAAACCTCCTGAAGGACAATGTCCGGCCATCTGTTCATCAACTAAAGCTGAAGCCATCTTGGGTGCTGCAGCAGGACAATGACCCAAAACACACCAGCAAATCCACATCTGAATGGCTGAAGAACAACAAAATGAAGACTTTGGAGTGGCCTAGTCAAAGTCCTGACCTGAATCCTCTTGAGATGCTATGGCATGACCTTAAAAAGGCGGTTCATGCTAGAAAACCCTCAAATAAAGCTGAATTACAACAATTCTGCAAAGATGAGTGGGCCAAAATTCCTCCAGAGCGCTGTAAAAGACTCGTAGCAAGTTATCGCAAACGCTTGATTGCAGTTACTGCTGCTAAGGGAGGCCCAGCCAGTTATTAGGTTCAGGGGGCAATTACTTTATCACACAGGGCAATGTAGGTTTGGATTTTGTTCTCTCCCTAAATAATAAAAACCATCATTTCACAACTGCATTTGTGTTTACTTGTGTTATCTTTGACTAATGGTTAAATGTGTTTGATGATCAGAAACATTTTGTGTGACAAACATGCAAAAGAATAAGAAATCAGGAAGGGGGCAAACAGTTTTTCACACCCCTGTAAACAAAATGTCAGATTTGAGCCTTTTTTGTTTCACACATCTACGTAGCCCTTTCTAAGGTTCTACAGTCTCCCGGTGGATGACCAATAGGGCAAAAATCACTTCCAGCTAAATGACAAGCACATCAGACTTCCTTTCATCACTGCAGCGAGTGAAGAGGTACATGTGTAAAACAACAACATATATGAATGGCAAACGTT